TATTAGCGGCCGGAAAGAGTTGGAACCGTAGGGGAATATTGTTGGAGATGGACTATAGAGGACGACTTCTGTAGTTTGTTTTGTTGTGAGTTGCAGCATTATTTGAATTAAGGGTACTAATGTGGTCTGATTAACTGCTTTTTTCTCTTGAGCCCACTCTAGAACCTACATTTCGTATCTAGATCTGTAAGTGAACTGCTGGTCTGAGTTCTTCTGGTATATTCAATTAGAGGATGATCCTGAATATACAGTCAAACAGCAGGTCATGTTGTGAACAACTTCAATGACAGTTGTCCAGGAGTGCTAAAATTTTATTTACAATAATCCAATGCCTACGGAATTGCGCTGCAAGTGTACCGATGGATGTGCCCTAGCTGTGCCGAATCTAACTTTGGCACAATGTGCTGAGTGATTTACTCCTTGATATCATCCCATCGGCTACGTCTCTGGCTTCATCGACTTCAGCAGATTCTATTGTCAATGGAATCAGTTTGTCTCATAATATTGAGACATTCAACCAAGGCATCATGGGTATCCCTGTATCGCCGATTACGACAAAGAGGCTGAGAAGTGCATGTTATCCTCAACAGAAGGAAAATACGCGGATCTAGACTGCATTCAAGAAGAAAAGATACAAGTATTATCCGCATTACCCGAATCTTGGTCTGTACAAAGAATCATGCATGACTTCGGTTTCAACAGATATACTGTAGCGCAGGTAAGTTTTATACAATTTTTAAACACCATAAAGGAAAAAAATTAAAAGTATTGGAAGTGACTCTAATGTTGGCCTATGGATCTAAGATTGGGCCCATCCCTAAGAATCTGCCATTTTTAAATTTTTATCTAGATGAACGCGTCATTAGGACGGTACTAATGGATATTTTTGGTCGCTTTTGAAAATTAAGTCGATTACTGAATTTATGTATGGGCTCATGGGGCATTTAGGCTGCCATTACATCAATTCCACCCAATTATCATGTTTTTCCTTCCCAGGTGAGAGATTTGGTCGCCGAAGATAGAATATTATGTCCCCCTCGTTCCAAAGCACACAGCTAAAAAAAAGTAGTGTAAATTTCCGTTACTATGATGCACATAAATGGAGCTTCATAAATCATACAAATTTACATTATAAATCGTGTAAATTTATGAGACATGTCATGCAATATTCCATATATTGTATGCAACTTTCCACCTTTGTTTACAACATTTCTTGCAAGCGGCTAGTTTACGTGAAAAGGAAGTTTACATGCATGAATGTTTGCATGCATGGATGTTTACATCACCAGTAACATTCAGATTATTTTAGTGTGCAGAACGTGGACTGAGAGCAGAGTTAGTAGATACAGTTGTGAAATTCTCAAAGATGACTATATAAGCAGAGTTATGCCGGTTCAAAAAGATTATGTTCCAACGGCGCCGGTGGTGTAGTGGTAAGCGTGATTACTTCTCCCCCAGCAGGCCTGGGTCCTATCTCAGTCAGCGCCACCGGCATGTTTTAAGGCATAACATCTCTGATCACGCCTTCCTTCGGGAAGTAAAGCCGTTGGTTCCCGGTTGAGTTGATGGGTCGATAGGTAGGGTCCAGGTGTGGGAGCTGCCTTCCTAGCACGTAGGTAGCATTGGTGCTCAGCACGGAAAAAAACAAACCATAGGAAAAAAAAGAGATTATGTGTCTGTAGTGACGGGTGCTGTAACATCTACTAACAATGTCGCTCAAAGAATCATACTTGCATTTTACGGAAGCCCATAAAGATGTTAAAGTTCGCTTAAGCTCATTTGCAGCCTTACGTCCAAAAAATTGTAAACTTCTTAGTAAATCAGGATCCTATAATGTTTGTGTATGCATGATTCACGAAAATGTAAATCTAATATTGAACAGCCTGAAAAAATATTGTGTGATCGCACTATTTATACGGAGCAGCTTCTTTGCTATTAACAATCTAGAACAGACTTTTGCCATCTTTGAACGTACATGAATTGTTACAAAATTATTAGAAAAGTAGGAAGAGAAACAAATATTACAAGTGTTATTTGAACAGTGGACTACGACTGATAGGTGTAATATTGAGCTTAAAACTTTGCCTTCCGAAGATTTTTCATTTTTCTTTACGGAAAAGTTGGACAAATTAATATGTCATGATTTTATAAAAAAAAATACGCAGACAGAATTCTTCAAATAAAAAAAAACCGCAAGGGTCAGCCCTATGGAGTTGTACGCAATGGTGACGTAGGACTACGTGGTCTTATTTGAGAAATTTTATGGAGCAGTAGCTAGGAATTGGAATTTGAGCGGGGTTTTCTCTGTTTATACTGTTTAGTATGACTATGATTGCCCTGAAAAGAACCTATTGATAGGAATTTTAGTTGGGACGTGTTCAAAAATTTAACTCTTTTGGAAAATCTTGGTGACCCTGAAAAGGGCTGATGGTAGCAAAGCCTTTGGAAGATGATGATGGGGTGTAGGCAGCTGGATCAGCAAATAGGACCGGACAATCCCATATTCTTCGGTTCAATCTCGACCCGTCTGCAGCTGGTTAGAGATTGACCTGGTGTCTATGACAGGTTGGAAGGCCGCAGAATATCAGTGTCCCAGGTTAAGCTCCTCCCCTTTTAAGTTTTTCTCGTTAAGGTGATACCTTGTAGAGTCCACAAATGGCTATACATGCACTTCCACTTTGAATTTTTAATTACACACATCTCGGAAAATAATGCCCCATTTCACCTGAAATTGCTACTTCATGTATGCTGTAGTACAGCACACGTGGAGTAACAGTTTCATTGTGGTACGTATCGTAGAAGCTGATATTTGTGCAGTCACAGTTTCGAAGTGGTTACAAGAATAAGGATCTCACAGCGAAACACCTTAAACTCCTTCTATCAACAAGTTGGTCAATGGGGGTGACCCCGGCGTAGTGGTTAACATCCATACCTATCACGCCAAAGTCACGAGTTCAAATCTCACCCCCGCACAAGTCACGAATGACCCAAGAGTGTTAAAGTGACTATAAAAAAAAAAAAAAAAAGTTGGTCAATCTTAGGCTTGGAGTTTTGTTGTTCTAGTTATTTTTTGCACAGTAAACGAGGCTTGTCATAAAATTAAGACAAATCAACAGACAAAAATAGGATACTTTTCCTTCTTTCAAACATGAGCATTTCTTTGAAGTTTTGATGTTCAGCATACGGCCAAATGGCATGCACAAACGGCATTCGGCGAAATGACCCGAAACCGTTCGGAGTGCATTAGCCTTTGTACGGTAAAAACCTCCCAATGTAAAACTGAGAAAGTGTTGGAAAAACACCAAGTTCAGAGCGGGCATAAAGTTTTGATTGCACTCATTGCAATTGCCAAGAAAAATAACGGCAACAACAATTCACTTGAGTTTCATTGTTATCAGAATCCAATTCCGTCGAAAATTAATTCACCATGGGGACAAAACCTCTCTAGAGTTTTCACTGTAACCTGTTTCTTACATATTTTTTTTTATTCCCTCAGAGGTCAAATCGGTAAAAGCTATTGGAAAAACAAATCAATTAAATCTAATCGCCAAGTGGGCTGGAAAAATAAAATCATTTAAACTGTTACCTTCAAGAGCTGAAACAACGCCCAAAAGCAAACAAGACCGGCCATCGAATGATGAAACAAGGTTCCAAATTGAGAAAGCAAAAAACTAAAGAGCAAACGAAAATCAAACAACCCGCAGCGCCAAATGCCAAACGACAGGCCTTCCATCAGAAGCGTTGATACGTACGTAGGTAGGTGGTACCTGCTTAATCCGGGAAACTTACTCCGTCCCACACCAGAAGTTGAAGTGGGCTCAAAGTACGATTGAAAGGAAGCGGCAAAGTGCGAAAGAAATGAAAAAAAAAATGCCCCGAGGGGCGTAAGGGAGCAAAAATGACTGGCCGGAAAATTAACTTCACACCTCACTTCCTGGCAAAGGTAGCCGACGACACGGGAGCGTTTGAAGAACAAAGAGAAAAGCGGAAAAAATGGGAAGAATGTGAAAAAAAAAAATGGTTGGCACTCCAATGCGCCTTAAAGTGTCTGACACAAGTGGTTCTTTCCACATCGAATACGGCGGGCCACGGGGGAAATTCAGATAAATCTCTGAACGAACTTGGGTGGATGATTCAGGGTGTGGGTTATCGACTTTTCTGCGTTCTTGTAACATTTCTCCGAATTGAAGTCCTTTCGCAAATCATTTTAGGAATTTAATTTACTTTGGATTATGAAAAGCCAATTAAATATGAGCATGGCAACCATTTGGATTGCAGTCAGCTATGGAAAACTTTTGTTGAGTGTGACAAGGGCATACGTTTGAAATTCTAAGTAGTCTGTACAGTGACTTCTTCATATACATATGTGGGTAGTAATGTCCACCAACCGCTATTTCTCGGCTGTCCCTCAAGCAATTGAGCTCATTGTTTGTAGATAACTCAGTGAATTTAGTTGAAACATCATCGTAGTTAGTTGAAGGACACATATGACTGGACGAATATATGGGGGGGGGGGGTTCCTGTAGTTTCATAAAATTACAATTAGTTGACTGTATTTTCTTTATGGCTGAACCACCCTGAAGATTTCCTGATCAAACCGAGGTCTCTCTTTGATGTTTCCCGTCAATTTCTCAGATGTGAGCATCAAAATCCATCCTATCCGCACATAGGTTGATCTAAGAGCTCGATGGGAAGTGCCGTCCACCCACCGCTATTGTTCAGCTATTTTCCGATAGACAGTGCTGATTTTATGAATGTGATTAGTGTCAACCATAGATGAGTCACCTCAGAAATTCAGTTCGATTGGTTGAACGAAACCGAATAAAAAGCGGTGGGTGGACGGTGCGCTTCTGGGGATTCCTGGAATATGCTGTGATCGTAAAAATTCTTTTCTAGCCCTAAATTTTACTCAGCGATCCAACTTGAGAAATCGTGCACATTTGGTTAAATTTTCTCTAAAACGGGTAAATCTCGGACTCTTGTTTGAGACAATACTTTACCTTGCACGTGCAGCGATACGTTGGTGTTGTTGACGAGGTTATCCATCAGTGGTAAGAAGTTATTGTACGTGATCGTCTCCAGCTGGTTCGACTTGAGATTGAGCGTCAGGACCGCCGGAACACCGGTGAAAATACCCCGTTCCAACCGTGTCAGTCGGTTGTTCTCCAGATTCAGCGTGTACAGGTTGTTCAGTCCGTCAAAGGCACGAGCCGAAAGTTTCTGAAATAATTAAGGACAATTAATTAAATCGATGAATCTGAAGCGAAGATAAAACTGTTGTCTGCTAGGGGTTAAGGCTCTAGTGTTGGTCTATGGATTTAAATATTATTAAGATTTCGATAAAAATATCCTGTTTCTATTTTTTCGTAGAACAATGCGTCATATGGACACTACCAGCGATGGATCGCTCTTTTGGAGATTGTCATTGCTTTTTATTACAGAATGCGTACGTTAAATCCAATTGCATTTCCGGGTAACCCATCTTGAAATAGAAAGTTTAGTGTGTCCCTATCAAATTAGAATTATCGACTTATAGAATAAACAAAATATTTCTTTTTCATCGTCTATAATTTAAAGAAACCAGTGGTCAACCTGTAAAATTTCTACCTCGTCTGACTTTTATTCCTCTTCGATCCTTGTTTGGACCCTTGGATATCGACTTGGAAAATTCCTCTTAGAGGAATCTGCTTGGAAGCCGATTTGGAGAAACTTGGTTCTGCCGCCATGGTGCCTAAGCGCAAAAGAAAAGGGCAATCGATCCCCCTTCTGATGAAATTGATTTGCAATCAATTTGATATGCTCACGAATGTTTAGAATGATCCATCATCCAGGCAAAATTCCATTAAACTTTCCCGGCTTGATGCCAAGAAGGAAAAGGTCCCCTCTATTGTGAGAACCACTTCCGATGTCCATGTTGTTCGTGCGGTGCCGTGTATTGGCTGAAGCCTTGGACGGATTCAAACGTTTTTTCAAGTATCTTACTGAGATGCAGCACACATTTTTTACTTATGACAAAATTACTTGGAGTTGTGCCAGTCTAAGTAAGCAAAATGAAAATAAAAAAAATGAAATTTGAAGTCTTGGATTCTGTTTGAAAAATCTTTTTTCAGAGTGACAACTGCATTGGCACATTTCATTTCGTATCTTTCTTTGCACGAACCCAGCGTATCTTTATCTTTCTTTATTAAAGAGACTTCGATCCCAGCGTAGGGAAATGAGAAAAATCTCTAGCCTTTAGATGCGTTTCCCACAGAGCTAATGTCTTATCAAAGGTCTTAATCTGGTTGAAAAGATTATGAACTTACTGTAGCTGAACATAAAAATCATTTAAATGTGTCGAGATATTAATTAAGAATGCAAGAACTGCCATCCAATTTTGGTTTTCGAAATGGTGAACTACTTTTCAGTTTCATAAGCTGTTCGATTTCTATTTTGAGATGGTAAACACGTTTAAGAACCTTTCCCCTGATTTACTACCCCAGCATATTCGCACAACCGCTACCAACTAATGGACATTCGCTAATTCTGGCTGCATCCGTTGGATTCATGATGCTCGCCTGCAACGCCTCGACGGCCTTGTAGTGGTTTATCGCTGAAACCATCAGCTTGATGCCTTCAGTGCACAGACGCATGGTACACTTGAGACTTTTACCAATGTAAAAGTCGATTTTCTCCCACAAACCTTCCGGGAATTCTTTTGCGAAGAACGGTTCATCCCCGTTTTCTAATGATGGCGTAACGATTGTTCGCCAACAGCTTCTTCGATGCCAATTGAGCACTGGACAAGAATAGCAGTCGCATCAACTCGCAACGATTTCCTTATGCTGGGGTCGTGCGATGTTTCACCAAAAAGCACGAAAAAAGAGCTCGACCACTATCGCAACGAACTAGCGAACAACTCGAGAGTGCGAGTAAAAACCGAACTGTATTGCTTGACAATCAAGCAGAGTTCGTGTATAGTAATATATGCTACTTCAGTAGATTGATAAGAGAGCAAAAGGCCTATTCAAAATTTCCTCTCTCGTTATCCGAAGGTTAAAGATAAGGAACACAGCAAAAAAATAATTTTGATATCACGTCAAAGTGGATGCACTACAATCATGTCGAAAATATGGTGTAATATTACTTGCTAAAAAGGACAAAATTATCATTAATACAATGCATGAACTGACATTACGCTGCTTTTACTGCATTTGTTTATTTAAGTGGTCATAAAAATTACATGAAATTTTCGACATGATTGTAGTGCATCCACTTTGATGTGATATCAAAATTATTTTTTTGCTGTGAAGGGTTCATTCTGGGTATTGATTGCAAGAGATCGAGTGAGATCAATATAGTTCTTATATCCTAAGGAGAATGCCACGCCTCATGTAACTCTTACCTCAATGTGATTGTTGTCCAGGTGTAGCTCCTTCAGACTCCACAGCTCCGCAAACACCGTATCGCCAATATACCCGATGTTGTTAACCGACAGCTTTAGAATCTTCAAATTCCCCAGTCCCTTGAAGCTTTCCCTCGTCAGCAGCGAAACCTGGTTCGATTCCAAGTCCAGCTCGTCCAAGTTGATCAAATGTGCAAACATATCGCCGTGCAGGATCGTCAGGTTGTTGAAGTCCAAATTCAGCCGCTTCAACTTGGGCAGGTTAACCAGTGCTTCCTTGTCCAGTTCAATGATTTCGTTATTCTGCAGATGGATCTCCTCCAGATAGGGATGATTGGCAAACGCAAACGGGTGCACTAGTCGGATCTGATTTTTGTGCAGCGTTAGGTTTCGCAGCTCGGTCAAATTCCCGAAGGAATATTCGGGCACATTTTCTATCGTGCCGTACACGATCGTCAGCTGTTTGAGATGCTTGAGCTTCATTAGCACATCCGACGGGATGTATGAGAGGTTGCCACCCTTTTGCACGGTGAGTTTCAACGTTTCCAGTGTGATTTGCGTTTGGAATATCAACCAGTCGGGATCGTTTCGAGGTATTTCCTCTCCAAAGATCCAACATTTAGCTGTCTGTGCTTTCACGTGCGGGTCTTCCGGAATGCAGTTACAGAGCAGTTTCAAATTGCGATCCTCGGAGCAGAGATTCAGCGGCATCTGCATTGTCGCGCGGATGGGCACCTGGTTCAGCTGGGCGGGTTTGGATTTCGGGGGGTATTTTTCTCGGTATCGACTTTCGGTGGGGCTGGTGACGATGCACAGCAGGAGTAACACCAAAGTTACGTGACGGTAGTAGGTCGATGCCATTGCCGATGATGTTGGGTAATGTTCTGAAATAGACCAAGAGAAGAAGAGGGAGATCGTTCAGCTTTTATTTCGTTTGATCGAATCATTTCGGTCAATTTCTCCCAGCAATGAAATGTCAACTCAAGAGTCATCCATTGAAGATTTCACCCAAACGCATTATATTTCATTGCAATTCATTTGTACAACTGTAAATAAAAACTCCCATTCCCTCAAATCATCCCCGAAATGGCTGAACCGAATCGGTCTTGCCATTATTGTGCTACTGCTGCTGCTGGCAGCTTTTTCGAACGGCGAGAGCAATCACTCGAGATCTGCCCATCAATGGTATTTTTCGCGTCAAACGGTCACGAGGGACCACGTGAATCAGGCTAAAAAAAAGAAAGGAAAACTACCCAAGTTCGGCAAATAATGACAGCCAACAGTAGTGTACCATAACAATCGAATCAGAAACCGTCGTCGTCGTCGTCGTCGTCGTAATCGTTCCCCGTTTCTTATTTGTAACAATGACGACGACGACGACGAGGATGACGATGACGAAGACTGTTGACGTCGAAGCATGACACTGATTTGAGCTCTCTCGTTGGCAGTTTCACTGAAAAACGTGCATGGTAGCAAGAAAATGGAAAGCTCCACGGAAAATCGAAAAATCATTGTCTGCTCCTTTTGAAACCCGGATGCGAGCTCTGCGGTAGGGTTACCAGGTTGGATTGATTGCGCAACGATTTTCATGCGAGAAAACAAATGATAGAACACTTTTCGGGTGCGACGTCCATACTGATTTCGTAAGCTATTAGAAGCAGGGTTCTGCATTTTCGAAACAAGGACAAGGACAATCGTTTCATTTCGAGCAATATCATTTTCGTGTAAGTCATTGTGTTTCTTGTTATAGAGTCACTATGAACATTCTTCCTGTCAAACATGACTTGACTTTGGCTTGTTTCGTTCGATTAGAAGAACGCCAGGAGAGAAAGCGCAGCTCAAAATGTGAGGATGATGAACAAAGCAACAAGGAGCTGAAAAGGTGGAGTAGGCAGTTGATGACGTTCAAACCGAAAATCAGAAGATGAGGAGTAAACAAAAACAGAAGACTAGATAAGAAAATGAAGGACACATAAACACATTTCGAAAAAGTAGCACACAAATGCAGCGTCATATATCATATATGTTTTTTTACATTTTAGATCATGTAAAGTAATGAGACATTTCATGACATAGGGGAAATGGATGTAATGTCGGCCTAAATGCCCCACATGGGACCATACATAAATTCATCAATCGACTAAATTTTCAATAGCGACCAAAAATATCCATTAGTACCATCCCAATGACGCGTTCATCTAGATACAATTGATAAATAGCAAATTTTTAGCAATGGGCCCAATCTTAGATCCATAGGCCAACTTTAGAGACATTTCCCCTATTGCAAAAATTGTATGCAAGAATCAATTTTATTGCAAGTTGTTAGCTCAGTGGAATATTTTGCTGAATATTGATTTGAGCGCAAGTTTTTCGGCAATAACCAAGATCAAACTGATACATAAACATCACTGAGCGTAATCTGTAAAAGGTTTGGATTTGTGAATTTGGGAGTTTGGGAGTTTCTAAAACGAAATAAGGATTTGTTTTTGACATAGGACTATGTCTGTGATTTATATATGTTATATATATTGTGAAAACCGAAAATGGAACATGTAACAAAATTACGAAAGATTTTGAACGTTAATGACTCAGCTGTCTCTGGACCAATTTCAATTATTTTATCACCAATCGATCAGAAATATGTCTACGCATTTGTTAAATTTAAGAACTTATCATTTTTTACAATGTCACTTTGTTGTTGCAATTATAGTTAAACTTATCACCGATTGCCTGCGAAAAGCGATTTCCCTAACACAAATTTCTCATTAGAATATTTCAGAAGGTGTCTTAAATTTCTTTTAGGGAAAATCAATCACTTTTATCTGCACTTTATATTTTCTAAAATATAAACGATTAGTCAAAATTACGTTCCTAACACTGGTAAACCATCTTGATTTCTTCATCAACAACTAAAACGAATTATCACGGTATTTGAACATATTTTCAACTTATTAGGGCAGACACTAAGCAAAATTCGCGCTTTACTTCTCTTTTAAGAAAGGATATGAAATAAAAATGGAACGATCCTACATTAGGTGACTTCTAAATTTATTTACCTTTCCATACGCACCAGAGGACTCATTCTCACCCAATCTCATCACAAAAACTGAAAACAATTTAAGATTTTTTTTCTATTTCAGACATTCCATGCATCTGTCTATTTCAATATATTCTTACGATCCCACTCGCCAAGTCTTTTTTTAATAAAATATATCTGGATGAGTGTCGATTCCCCTGATAGGTACTGTTGAATTTGTTAAAGAGTTACAAATTGTTGAGATATTGTTAAATGAATATTGTTAAAAATCTAAACATTTAAAAGAACAATAGTGCCATCTAGCGAGCTAACTCCGAACTAGACAATCCACAATAAAAAAGGTCTTAACCTCTTGAACAACATAGCAGAAAACAGAAACTTTGTATCTAGGAAGGATCTCGAGATATTGATCCAATATTTACATGAAATTCATGAGAACACTAATACCACCTGGTGAGATGATTCCGAACTAAACTTTGCTCAATTCAGAAGGTATTAGCCTCATGAACAACATTGCAGATCACAGTAATTTCGTATCAAGCAAGGATCTCGTGATGTCAACCCTGCAAATATATAAACATACTAGTGCCCCCTAGCGAGAGAATTCTGAACTTAACATTTCACAAATCAAAAGGTCTTTGCTTCCTGAACATCATTGCAGAAAACAGCAACTTTGTATCTAGCAAGGATCTCGAGTTGTCAACCCTCCATGTACCCAGAGTTTAAAAGAATACTAGTGCCACCCAGTGAGATAATTCTGAGGTAATCTATTCAAAATTCAAAAATCCTGAGCCTCCTGAACAACATTGTAGAAAACAGAAACTTTGTATAACTAAAGCAAAGATCTCGAGATGTCGAGATGAGGCATTCACACGAATGTCATAAGAACACTAGTGCCTTAACTCAACTGTCCTCAATTCAAAAGGCCTTAGCTTAATGAACAACATTGCACGAAACATCAACTTTGTATCTAGCAAGGATCTCGAGATGTCAACCCTGCCTGTATGTTCATGAAATTTATAAGAACACTAGTGCCACCTCACGGGAGGAATTCAAATTTTTTGGATGGTATTGTTGGAAGGAGATTCTTATTTTCCCGTAGAATTCGTGTGTCTCTGCTTGTGGGTCCACCCCTCCATTTATGGCTTTTCATACAGCGTTCTTGTTAATTAAGATCGGCAACTTAAACTGATCTTGCTGTAGAGTGGATCCACATAAAAGTCAAGAACTTTGAAGGGACAGTGAATAACTTACATATATGTTTACATACATTTTTATTTTTCGGGTTATTTCTCATCATGCAAGACATCAGTAAGATGAGATTCGCTTTCCATTTTATTATTAGTCCTGTTAGTTATTCATCACACTTTTTTCACAACTGCAAGAAGAGAATATCAAATATCATAAATCTGACATTTCAGTCAAAGTGTTTTTTATGTTACTTCATACGCGAAGTTAACGATTTTCAGAGTTGGTTGGAAATGCTAACATGAAGCTTTAGTGTGATGATTTATTAGCTAGAGAATGATCTTTAGAAGAATGTAGGTGGATAGTTCCGTTAGAGTACGGCAGTATGAAAATTGAATAGAAGTTGAAAATGAGCGAAGGGCCATTAAAGCGACAGTTTTCAAGATGACGCACATTTTTGCCTAGCCCGTACGATGTACGCGGGGACTTGAAGTATGTCTCCAAGTCCACAGGCAAAAATGTGCGTCCCTCTTGTTGCTCATAAACTGACTGCGGCTGTGGAATAGTTCTAGCGACGTTTTCATCACTACCTAAAGCCCCACGTCGCGAGAGCATTTCCAGTCGATGGTGTGTTTATAATGCAGTTCTTCTTTACCCAACTATTGTGTTGCTCCTCTCGTCATGACCAACGTGATCATCTCAGAGAGAAAGCAGTAGGGTGGTTGTTGCGTGCTGTACCATCATCAGCATTGTTGACGGCTACTCCCGCCTTGAGTTGTTACATTCAAAGTGTTTTTTATGTTACTTCATACGCGAAGTTAACGATTTTCAGAGTTGGTTGGAAATGCTAACATGAAGCTTTAGTGTGATGATTTATTAGCTAGAGAATGATCTTTAGAAGAATGTAGGTGGATAGTTCCGTTAGAGTACGGCAGTATGAAAATTGAATAGAAGTTGAAAATGAGCGAAGGGCCATTAAAGCGACAGTTTTCAAGATGACGCACATTTTTGCCTAGCCCGTACGATGTACGCGGGGACTTGAAGTATGTCTCCAAGTCCACAGGCAAAAATGTGCGTCATCTTGAAAACTGTCGCTTTAATGGCCCTTCGCTCATTTTCAACTTCTATTCAATTTTCATACTGCCGTACTCTAACGGAACTATCCACCTACATTCTTCTAAAGATCATTCTCTAGCTAATAAATCATCACACTAAAGCTTCATGTTAGCATTTCCAACCAACTCTGACATTTCAGTGTTCTGCATGTTATTATGTGAATAATATTATCAATTTTCATTGCAGAATATCAACTATTTTATCTATATAATTGTATTCCATTATTTTATATTTTAATGTTCTCATATATTTCATTTCTACATTACATAAATTTACTTTTTTGCTAAGTAATGAACCCACTGGTGATCGAAAACTTTGAGAAGCTTCTGGAGCTAAATCCTCAAACATGTTTTATGACTTTGTACTACCTATATTTAACACAGGATGTCAGCCCTTCAAGAAATATTCCCAATCGTGTAGTCTTCTCCGATTTCGGCAATTCAGTGAATTTTGATTTATCTATGACGCAGGAAATCCGCGGAATTCCAGAACATCATCGTCCTATGATTGCTTCGTCATTAT